ATTATCTGAGGTCAGCCGGTGAATCTTGTCCAGTCCCAACCAAAATTCACTTTTTAGGTCACCAAAGCCATGTTTGTAGTCGTTCCAGTAGCGGTAGAAATCAACCGAGCCGTTCAATCTTTTCTGGAACACTGTCCACCCTCCACCGGCTTTTGTTTGGTCACAGAATACATCAAAGGCAGGCAAATTATCAGGCTTAATGGTGTACACACCGTCATTTGGTTTGCCCGCGGATTTGTAGATTTCTGCGCAGTTTCTTTTGACTGAAAATCAGTAAAAACAAAAAAACAAACAAAACACCCATTTAAAATGGTTTGGATGCTGAGTGCTTTTTGTTTGCTTTCCTGACTGTTGCTCTGACTGATAAAACTTGATTCTGAACATTAACTAGGACCATTTCTTTTTCCTCAATATCTACCAGCTATATTCATGTAAAGTTAAATAATAGGCTTTTCCTTTTTAGTTTTACTTTAGTGGTTAATATTCTGTTCTTGAAATCAAGTTTTGGACTCTAGCGAGTAACTCCTCGCGTACTACACGCGAGACTGGCCCACACAATCCAGTCATTTCACCTTCACTGACTTGGCAGGTTTCTCCAGTGAATCTTTCCTGACAGACACAACGAAAACCTTTATAGGTGAATCCAGCTTGACAGATGCCATTGTTTAAGCATGGGCTACTTCTGCATGGATTCTGTTGATAAAACAAAGAAAGCTTTTTTTGCAGACCTTCCTTATGTCAAGAATAAGATCGCTTTAGCCTTAGGAAATGAAACAATCTCTTCTACCATCTTAGTTTCCTGAGAATGTGAAATGTTACCTCGATTGCAAGATATGTGTAACCCGGATTGTTCACGAGAAGAAATGGAGCATAGTTTTCCCCCGTGGCGTTATTCAACTCGCATTTTTGGCTTCCTCCTACAACAGGTCCAATATTGATAGACACACAATTAGGCTCCATCAAACATATTACTTTGCAGCTCCCTTCGTTTGGCACCTCTGCACTTTTGATCGCTTGACTTTTCATGGCCATGTTCGGTATTGGGTCCTTGAATTTGATGTGTCGACTATCGTCGTCTGTGGTAGGCAAAACAAATATATCGTTTAGTTTTCACTCACTCGCGAAAATTTCTTATTTTCACTGATGAAACTATACTGCATTAGGACCCTGACGAAATTTCCCTAAAAGGTGATTCTCATCTCTTGAAAATTCAACGTAACTGGGAGGCTTTCATTACCAAAAATTAATCTTTGACTGTAAATTAATGAGCGGAAGAAAATATTTAAAAATATATCAAGAATATTTTCATAGCGTTCATCACCTTCCTGCGATATCTGTGAATCTTTTGTTTTAATTCATCATTTTGAGCCATTTATGTGCATGTGGTGAGGTCTTTTTGAAATTTGACTTTTTTTGTATCTTCTTTTCCATAATAGAAGACATTTTGAATTAGATAAAGCGGGTTACCTGCTTAAAGATCATTTGCTTTGATCAGCAGGTAGCATGTGCAGTTCGTGTCATGGTTTTGAGGAAACGACATCAGAAAGGAAAAACACAAGAAATTTAAAAAGGTATTTATACTCACCGGTGCAACAGAAGCATGGTGGGAGAATAATTCCAAGGAAGATATAGAGAATAACAATGACTGGTAGAAGAGAAAACTTGAACTGCATCGCTGTAAATAGATTCAAGGTAAATTCAAGGTAAAAAATATGATAGTGAGCGTCCCAAAATATAAACCTTCCTGTTTTCCTGTAAATTTGAAAGTTGACAAATGTTAGGCAGCTTTTCGACTTTATTTGCCAGCTTTGTCCACTTAAAGGGACTCTTAATTAACACAATATTTCGAAGGCAAATCGTTCAGTTATGTTATTGGTCTAAAACACCTTATGCTAACAGACTTGTGTCATCCCTTGCACAAAAAAAACCTAATAGGAATTTCTTTATATTAAATATTCATTTTCGTAGGTGAGTCAACAGCTGCAAAAGGCGCAAAATTGGAGTATTTTTAAATTCTTACTCTATCTTGTAAATTTCATCATATTCTGATAAGTCATAATATTTTATAAAGCTTCGAAGAAGGACGAAATAGAGCACATCACCCTTATCGGAGATGACATGAGTTTATCAATGTGTTAGAAACAAATTTTTGCAACTTGCTACCGACAAAGATGTCAGATCACTTCTGAAATACAAAATGTTAACAATTTATCCTTTTTTATCTCAAAATGTTCTTCAGTACGATAGAACAGCATTGCAAATTATTAATATGAAGATTAACTTTGTAGCAACTTTAAATTGAACAATGTGATAAAATTTTTGTAAAGTACAGAGGACTAAATGTTTTATGGCTCTTTTTACTCATAGTAGTTGAACAGGGTAGTTAGCATTAAACATCACCCGATTTTATCTTAGTTAGACAGATCACAAGCATTCTATGACTTTCGGATGATATTTGAGAACTTCAACCTAAAAACTTTCAAATTTGTAACAACTTTGTCCAGAAGGGTGAGACAGAATGTGAAATATCGTGTGGCTGAATTGACAGAAATTTAATCAAAATTTTTCTTGATCATTTCTGAAATCGATGCAATTGGTCTGAGCAAGAAAGGCTTGGTCTAAGAAATGTAGATAAGTAGCTCACAGAAATATATTTCTTACCTTCTGGGTGAAAAAGTGTTTTTCCTACTTGGTTTTGTTCTTGAGGGTATCAATAATGAAAACTTTATGGTGTCGTGCTTTTCTTCAATTTATAGAACTGTTTGAACTTCTGTAACTATGGTAACAAAACAAAACCTCTGTTTTATACGCCACAGTCCTTCTTCCTGTCCAGCTGTTCTAATTGTTGTTAGCCATCTGGTCAAAGCTTTTGTGTTTAAATCTAAATGACTGCGAAGTCTCATCATTAGTTCCACTGGATATGACAGTCAATGAAATATTTCTATGAAAATTCAGTAGTATGTTCCGAAATACATAACTAACTCTTATGCAAATTATTTGGTTAAGATACTTTCAGCGAGACATGTAAGAAGTTT